CTTCCATCTACCTACACAGCGCAAGGACCAAGGATGGGTTTTCCGCCGGGGCTGATGTGGCCCGCCTGCACTAAGGGATTCGTGAGGTGCATTACCTACAGGTCACCTCAGTAGGGCCACCGGATTGGCATTGGCGGCTCCCGTCCTGCTGGGCTGCTGGGCTGCTGGGCTACTGCAGGATGTCAGAGGGCGGCATGGCAGCCGGGCGGGCAGCAGGGTCAGGCCCGGTGATGTATTGATTATCCCATTGTCGTTGTGTTGTTCCTCAGACAGCCCGGGCAGCCCCGCCAAGACCTCCCATTGGGTTCCTTCACAGTAGGATACTTTACATGCGTCTCCAGCCCATAGTGTAGGTACGAACACTCGACGCAAGGTACCTCAAAGTAAGGTAGGTCTTCATACCTTTTACCTCCCTGCTGAGCCAGCCCAGCCTCCAGGAGCCGGGACCACTGGCATGGCATGCACGCCGGGACTTTTTATTGATGGCAGCATGGTCTACCACCCCGTAGCCTGGGCACCAGGACTGGTGGCCCGGCCCAGCTCAGCCCAGCCCAGCCCACTCCAAAAGAGACGGACCGCGAATTTGACACCCCAGCAGTGCTTCGTACCGCAGTACTTGGGTATCCGCAGGTATTCATGGTCCGTCTCAGGGGTTGTGGTCGTGGTTGTGGTTGTGCTTGTGGCGTACAGACTCGAGTGTCGTGGTCTCGGCCCCCAACTCTTGTGCTGCCCCTACCTACAAATACCTCCAGCCAGTCTGCCGTGAACACAGTCAAAAGTCGCCATGATCGCTGCAGATCTCCAGTGTCAATTACCCAGGATTGCCTCTGTGAAATGAGCACTCCGTCTATTGAAAGCGACATGATACCCTTCGGGTCTCTGCGTCGACGTCTAATCTCTGTTTCGAGACACTGACCACGCTTGCCTCTCGTCAGTGTTTTCTTCGGCTGCAAGGTACATGGAGCTGAAGAAAGGGGGCAATGTAAAGCAACGAAAAAAGGGAGAGAGAAAATTGCATGACTTGGACAACAACGCTTTCGTCTCAGTGAGTTCTTGGTCGGGAATATGCTCCCAACAGTCCCGATAACACGCGGGATTCAGGAAGGGGGACCAAAGAGAAAGAAAAAAAAAAAAACACAAGGCACAGGTAAGCGGCTGCCTGCGCCAGGTTGCTTCCCTGCTCTCCGACTCGGGGGGCGAGTGTCATGCTGCAGAACCTGTCGCAATCTCTCCCGTTCGCCTCTATGTGACCTCTTTCATCATTATCAAAGCCCCCCCCCCCCCCCCCCCCCCCTCTCATGTGTAGCGTTTCTACATTATCTGCCTGACGGGACGAGACGACAACGACAACGACAACGACAACGACGACGCCGGCGACGACAGCGACAACACCCACGCCGAGCCTCCAACATGCGTCCCCACGTGTTACTGCTCTCGGCTGCTAGTCTAACGCTCCTGGCCCCTTCCGCCAATGCCGCCCGCATCGATCTTCATCATAACGATCACAATTCCCCGACCTCTCGAATCTTCCCAATTCTGACTTGGCTGCGCGACGGTGCAATTGAATTCGTGTTCGGTCCCGCGCCGGCCAGGTCGACCGCCCGTCCCGCTTCGCACAAAGGGAAAGCCAGCCTTCGGACCAAATACAATGATCAGGTCGTTCTGCGATTCAATTTGACTATCCCTGAGGAGGAGACCGTCTTCTCCGAGGCTGCCACGCGCCTGTTTCTCGATGTTTGGGCTTTTAACCACGACTATGTTGACATCCGCATTCGCAATGCCGACATTGCCTCCCTTTTGGGTCTGCTGCCCTCGTCTCTGAGATCCTCATATTCCACATTGATTCCTGATCTGGCTGCGTCTGTCTACGATACCTATCCGGCCGTCGCGGCTCCGCCGCGACATCAACGCCTCGATGACCGCCGGACATCAGTCCAGCTGTCCCGTCACGAGGGCGATAACGTCTTCTTCCAAGAGTATCAGCCTCTTTCTGTACGTGACGGCACCGCCTTCAGCTATCTCCCAATACCATTGAACTAACCTAGCCTAGGTCATTGTGCCGTGGATGCGCCTGATGGAAGCCATGTTCCCCTCCATTACTGAGATGATCAGCATCGGGCAGTCATTCGAAGGTCGCGACATTCCTGCCCTCAAGGTCGGGGTCAAAACACCTGAAACTCCTGGCGGCAAGAGGAAAACGGTTGTTGTCACGGGAGGCATGCATGCGCGCGAGTGGATATCTACAACCACAGCAAATTACGTCGCGTGGTCCTTCATCACGTCCTTTGGCAAGGAGCCCATGATCACCAAGCTGCTCGAGCACTTCGACTTCGTCTTCGTTCCTGCGGTTAACCCCGACGGCATCGAGTACACCTGGCAAGTCGACCGACTCTGGCGCAAGTCCCGACAACAGACCGGAATGCAGTGGTGCCGTGGATTTGACCTCGATCACGCGTTCGGTTTCGAATGGACCGGTTTGGATTCTGAGAACGACCCTTGCTCCGAGAGCTATGGCGGCACCGAGCCCTGGGAGGCAACCGAAGCTATTGCACTTGCAAAATGGGCGAAGAGCCAGTCTCAGGAGAAGGCTGAGTTCGTGGGGCTGATCGATCTGCACTCGTACTCTCAACAAATCCTCTTCCCATTCGCTTATTCCTGTGACGTGGATCCACCCAATGTCGAGAACCTCGAAGAACTCGCGACCGGACTTGCCAAGGCCATTCGTCTTTCCAATGGCGAACAGTACTCGGTCACTTCTGCCTGTGAAGGTGCCGTCGCCTCTCGAGGCGGTGACAGCAACGTCCGGCGCATCGAGACTGGCGGGGGATCGGCCATTGATTGGTTCTATCACGAGCTGCACGCTCACTACAGCTACCAGATCAAGCTCCGTGACACTGGCAGCTATGGCTTCCTGCTTCCCAAGGAAAATATTGTGCCTGTCGGCGAGGAGATCTTCAATGCCATGAAGTATTTTGGGGACTATCTGCTGGGGAACAATGGTATCGAGAAGTCGACCGAATTCTTACGACCGGCAGACCAAGACGCAGATCGTGGCGTCGAGCTTAGACGGATGAGGCGTAGGAGATGAACGCGATCATTTGCTGGCATCGAAGGATGATCATCAATGTGGAGGCGCGCGAAAGTGAGGGCGGAAGGGATGGCTATGATGTATAAGACTGGGGTAAATATCTCTTTTCCCCTTTGTGATGAAGTGTATACGACTGGCGTTACGGCAAAGGCGGGTTTACACTAGAGAGCATGAGACATTCAGGTCATGCACGCAGCGATACGCGAGCACCTGCTCGCGTTCCGCTTTTACTTCTCTTCTTTTTCTTTTTCTCAGGGGAGGGAAGACTTGTGTTTATTGAGTTACAGGCGCGCAACTTCCTACAAGATTGTCTGACAGCGTTTATAATTACAGAGTTCATATGAGTTGGTGCCGGCTGACCCTGACTTGGGTTACCAGTCCATAATCATGGCAACGGATGTGTAAAGAGCCATGAACTTAAGGGCGGTATCGGTGAGGAACGACCCAATTGAACCACTGTTGTTCAGTCAGTCAGGGCATTCTCTGGTGCACATTATGCCATGGAGCACTCACCGGACGCGACCTGCAGGGCCGGCAGCGCTCGTGTAGCCAAAGGCGTAAATTAGTCGGGAGAGGGCCCAGCCCGCTCCAATAGCAGCGCTGGCAACGGGGAAGCGAAGACCGGAGATGAGCAAGGCGCCGAGGAACGAGGGCTGGTTCTCGGTGAAGTTGGCGTGGGCGCGTTGCGCTGCGGTGCTCATCAGTGGCCGGCCTTGTAGGATTCCAGGAAGGGGGGGGGGGGGGGGGGGGAGGGGGGGGGGTTGGGGCGCAGACGTACCACAGTTAAACATGTAAGCCTTGCGGTCTTTCTCAGCAGCCTCGTTAGAAGCGTAAGGTACCGGGTAGACGAGACCGCTAGCCTTGCGGAACTTGCTCGTCAGAAGAACATGGGTGGTGTTGATGAAGAAAGTCGAGGCAGCAACGAGAAGGACGTAGCTACAAAGGTTCATGCGTTAGCAATTGGCATGGCGTCCTTGTCCCAAGGTGCTAACAGTCGGCGAGGGAGCTTTAGACGGAGAACGTGACATACCCGTACTCGTCGGGGACCTGCAGCGTCATAGGCATTGTGGCTGGGAGTGATGCGGTGTTTTTGGTAGGCTAGTGGTGAATTGACGGTTATTGATCGTATTGTAATCTGTTCCGCTGCGTCCGAGAGGTCAATTGAGCAGGGTAGAGTAAAGTTAGTTGAGTGATGGAAGTTGTCTAGTTATAAACTTAGATGGGAGGAGGAGGAACTTGACAACGGGGACCAAGGTAGGCAGCTCGAGACGCCAGGTGTCTGGGCTCTTGTCCGCCCCGATTCTCCGCTCGCTAAGAGGAGCAGCTTATTCAATGTCCATTCCCGTTCAGCTGGTCCCTGACGAAATACACCAAACTGTGCCCACCCACGTTGCCACGGCGAGTCTGCCTACTAGCTACCGACGGGATGGAGACGGCCACACTTAACGCCCGACTACCGATTCACGGATATCTGGCCAATGAACGTTGTTGAAACGAGATAACGCTGGTCCCGGACGAGGTCTGATTGTCTTGCAAGACCTTTGCCTTGCGGAATTCGGCGGAGTTTGATTTTTCTGTTGCGTGTGCGATGAAAGACCTCGGATTTCAGACGACACCAATTGCCATCAAAGACCCAGGAGTTTCGATAGCGCCCCGAAGAAGTCGAAGCCAGTAATGAAGCTATTCGCAGTCTATTTCAGCCCTACACGAAGCTTTAGCATGCGAGTGGTTTTAACTTCCAATAAGGTGCTGACCCAATCAGCACGCCATTTTAACTCCCGCTTCACCATCAATGTGCTGCTGGGGGGTTTGACTCCAAACGCAGTAACTGTTCATAGCTTGTGGCCACCATCTCGGCCTTCAGGCATAGCTTCCTCAACCCCTTATGCCATTTTCTTTGTCTGCATCTATTTTACGCCAAGATGAGACTCTATGAGGAGTGAAGTATCGTCTCTTCACCCCGTGCACCGATCCTCCGGACGCACCCAGTCCAGCCCCAGGCCCTCAAACACCCTCCTCTCCGCCGTTAACATGTCCGGGGCTTTTCCATTTCCCTCCAGGTCCAACCAGCTACCGTCAAGGCGACTGCGGATACCACTGCTGTCAAACTTCAAGTCCCTCTGCTTCTTGCAGTAGCGGCGTAGATCCCGCTGGAACGTCGTGTCCCCGCTCCATCCCAAAACAGCACAGCCAACCGTTTTCCAGGGGCTGATTATAATGTCTACCCTTCGATGCGGTGGCCTCTGGCTGGCGGAATCGACGCTGCTGGCCCTGCCTCGATCGCTCATTTCCGGCTCCTGCCAAACCACGAGTGCTTTGTCCAGTGTATCAAAGCCACCCCCCCTTCCCTGATTTCCGTCCCAGCTGAGTGGTCGCTGGCCGCGCTCGCTATTGTGGTTGCTCAACGTGAGGGTATGGGTTATCTGCCCGCTCTTCTCTAGGCTCACCACAAGCTTCTGAACGAAGTTGAGTGTGGCACACTCATCTGGATGACTGATGATCACATCCACGTCCCCGCTGTTGTGCTTCCCACGTCGGTACCCACCAACGATGACCATCTGGTAGCCAGGACTGAATTTGCGCGCATGCTTCAATATTGTGTTGGCAATGGACTCGACTTCGACACGAGTAATTTTGAGCTTGAGCTCCTCATAGAACTTGATACCGATTTGCTGGACGCGTGACAAGTCGTCCCAGCCATATTCTACTATATCGTCCAAGTCTCGCCACCCTACGTTTCGGTCAGCATGTTTTATGCCGAGAATTTTGGTAACCCGCCTTTCTTATAAAAGTCTCGAGCGGTGGCATCGCCAACTCCCCAGATGTCATAGAACGTCCGTAACACCGATAATTTGGGATCTGCTTGAGCTTCAGAGGCCTCGTGGAGCCTGCCTGCGTCTTTCCATTCATGCCACAGCTCAGCAACCTTAGTGCCGCAGCCGGGCAACCTGGCAACTTCTGTTCAACGGTGAGAGTCGGCACCGCATGTTAGGTATCATATAGGCACTGACCTTGCGGGCTTGAGATATTGCATGGGTATGCGGATAATGTCGCAATCGAGGTGGAATATGCTCTCACGCCGATCTGATCACCCATGAGTTTCCTCGTTGTCCGAATTGCCTTCAATTCCTCGATGAATGCTGCATTTGCAGGGTCAGCAGGCGTTGCCCGCTGACATGCGTACGTCGTCCTCAAAAAACCAGGTATCGGCGCCAGAGTGATAGTCAAGTCGTGCTCTGAGGTTGTTTGTCTCAGCAGCGAAGGCATCGTTGTCCGCTGACTCGCTGATGCTGACGCATTTTCCTCCGCCCGATGGAACACAGGCTGATGGTCCTGCAACGTCGTGTCTGCGGCAGCACGAGCTAGTATGTCGTTGCCTTTCACTGCTACCAAGGTATTGGATTCACCACACTTACGGCCCTCGTAGATGACAAAGTCACGAAGCGGAAGGACCCGGCCCTGATCAAGGGATTCAGTAAGCCAGTTGAGCTTTACTACTCGAACGATATCGACTTCGAGAGATTTTAGGAATGTCTGCGGGACTGGCCAAGCAGCTGATCCATTCCTATGGCCATCCTCGGTATACGCAGATGAATCGCTGTCGCTTGAGCCTTCATCCCGTTTTCGCTTACACGAAGAACCCGGAGGCTGTGACTCGGTGGCTGCCTCCACTGGCACTGTCTGTAGTTTTCTCTGCCGTAGCTCGAACAAAGCTCGTTGCCTCTTCGAGATTTTGCCGAGAATCACTTCAGCCTCTTGTATGTCGTAAGTCAGGCTTGGAATCTTCTCCTCTAGCTCGTGAAGCCGATCAGCGTCAAGGTGCGTAGGCAAGAGAAAAATGAGCGGAAATTCGAGGTCTGTCGCCATTCTTGTAGCCGTAGCTGAGGATGTTGGTGATGCTCCGGCAAGCAAGAAAAGTCGGCTCGGGAGGCTGGCGGGCGCGGCGCAGCCGAGTCAAGAATGAGGTTGGGTTGATGTGCATTCGAATTGCGAGAGGGCTAGACGCTTGCTGCACCGCAGGTTAGCCGTGTAAATGAAGGCGGTGCCTGCGAACTGTACTGCGCTGGGTGGGTTCCGAGGGTAGCATGGCTTTTGAAAGACGTCTCATCCGCGGCCATGTACAGACGCGACGCTGACATCATCGTCACCGGACCAATGCGCAATCGCACTGCAAATTTGCATGCTTCACTTAAAACGCTTCCCAAACATTCTTCTTAGATGATATCGTGTTATGATTAGTTTAGTTCTCAAGAGCCTTTTAAGTAGTAGTACATTGAGTAGTCGCGCCCTCAGACGTCCTCGAATTCGACGTCCTCATCACTCTCGCCGTCATCTGGCATCTCTACCTTCACCCTCTTGGCTGGTAATTCCTCCGCATCAGCAGCAGGTTCCGCCTTCGGGATCGGTGTGTTGTTTCCCATTGGAGTCACGTCTTCGAAAGCGTCTTCTTCTTCCTCTTCATCGTCGTCCGAGCCCTCCTCCGCGAGAGCCCTCGCAGCTTCAGCAGCTTGTTCGGCCTTAAGACGAGCAAAATAGTCGTCCAGTTCTGCATGTTCTTGATTATCGCCTGACTTGGCCAAGGCTTCTTTGCTGTCGACCTCCTCAACCTTAGCCGCAGGCGTCGGGCCCGCGTCAGCAGTGAATGATTCACCCGTGACAGTGCTGTTGGACATCCACGAAGGAAGTGCGTTTTGCTGTGCAATCTTCTCCTTCCGCGCCTTCTCCGCCGCCTTCTCAGCCTCTGATGGGCCATCCGTTGTCGAGATGCTGACTGACATGGATTTGGGACCGACATTGTCGAGACCCTTGACCGCGGTCGGTTGCAGTGACGAGACCGGTATGGTTGTGACAGTTTGGTAACTGGCATCTCGCACTACTGGCAAGGCTTTGCTAATTGCGATGTCGAATGTGTTGTCGGGAACCACCATCTCGTCGATGCGTGGTAGTAACTCGGTTATGAACTTGAACTGGTTATTCAGCCGTGTCGACTGCTCGTGGCCAGTCGAATTGCGCTCGAGATCGTGCGTAAGAGACGAGCCACACCGGTGGCAGACGAATCCTTCGGGTCCAACATTGTCTAAAACCTCCATCTGCGTCCACTCCGCCTTGCAACGTCCGCAAAAGTACTCCTTGCGCTCGCTTGCTGGAACCGTGGTGCCCTGGATCTGCTTGTCGACGGTGTATACACGCCACTTTATGGCATCAATGGTCTGGCGATAGTCGATGTAGTAGTAGGTGCGATTCACTGGTCGCGGTTTCGCCTCGGGGTTCTTGGGATCCTCGCGATATTCTAACCTCGTGTATCTGAAGTGCGCCCGGCGTCAGCTTCAACCGGATACCACAAGAGGAAGATTGCGAGCATACACAGCCAAGAAGCGATCCTCTCTTAGCTTTCCGCAGGCTTTGTGGAGGTCTTTTGTGTTTGTCGCCATCAAGTAGGCCAGGTCGTCGTCTCGCAGTCTGTGATGTCCTTCTGTCAGCAACCAACCAGCGGCAGAAACAGAAACCGAGCCTACGCTGAGTGAATGATGAGCGCGTCGATGATTAGGATGTGGCGCGTCTCGTAGAAGGCGCGCATTACCGACTTGACGAGCGTTTTGGCAAGATCCAGAGGCTGCGCCATGGTGTGCAGTTGTTCTTGCTGAGAGGTTTGCTGATTGTAGACCACCCGGTGAAGGTGAAGTAGGCAAGCCGAAGAATGAACTTTTGGCAGTAAGGTAGTTAGTGGTAGGTAGGTATACCTTAGGTAGATGGTGTAGCTGCGGCAAAGTACCTAAGGGTGGGGCCACCCTCTAAAGTAGGCACCCACGTACCTGAAGGAAACCCGTGCTTCTTCTCAGTGCGTTTGTCCTGGTCTTCCACCCTTTCCAGGTTAATTCCACCTAGTGAACCAGATGGTGATTGCACACTGCGGTCAGCGGCATGAACTGATTGACAACAGATGCCATGGATGACGATGGAGATCGCGAAAGGTGTCAATGAGGAAGATGGAGCGTGACAGATAACAATAAGAGCAAACACATACGCAAACAGAACAAACATAGCCTCGAGAAGCCTTGTAGATAGCGTAAATCGAAATTCTCCTAGAAATGATTATTCTATGCCCTGAAAGAGATGGTGAGTGGTGGGATGTGGTGAAGGTGTTGATTTTGATCTTTTCTCTTCGCGCCATCGAAGCTGCCTTCCACCTCGCCTACCACAGCGGCTCCTTTTTTTTTTTATAACCACTAAGTCACAATCACCAGGATCGAATGAGCTTGTCAGCAATGCGACAGTATCAAACCGGTTGTAGATGAAGACCTTGGACGGAGAGAATGTTGTCGAATGTTATCATTGGCGCAGAGGGAAAAAGAGTTCATCAATAACGTGAATGGAAGAATCCACCGGCCATATTACAGTCCAAAACTCCATCGCAGGCTCACCAAAACCTAGCGTCGCCGCAACACCATCTCTGGTATCATCTGGGGTGCAAATCACCTGCTCCGCCCCGAAACCCATCTTCTTAAAAGTCAAGCATGCAGGGCTGCTAGCATCGTAGCTGGCGGTTGCGCGCAAAACCCACGACCTCAAGCCCGAGTGCCAGCGCTGCCAGGTCCACCGGTTATTTACGTCCTTCATGTCATCAATCTTCTCTCTAAGCATATTTTCGGAGCTAGTTCATTGTCAGCCTCTGTTCAGCTACGTTTTTGCCAGTCACAACTTACATCTAAGGTGAGCGTCCTTGAGCTGTTGACTTCTTGATCTCGGTAAACACCGACCAAGCTCTCGCTGTCCTGGAACAATCCGGTTTTGAGACTGATAACGATGAATTGCATGCCTGGCCCAGCATGTTCACGGATGTACTTCTTGATCTTGTCCACGTTGGCGTTGTCAAGTGCGGCGTCTACTTCATCGAGCACGAAGAAAGGACTTGGCTGGTAACTGTGAATCGCGAACAGGAGAGCCAAGGCGGCCATCGTTTTCTCGCCTCCAGAAAGGTGCTCCATGTCTCTGAATCGCTTGAGGGGCGGCATGGCATGATACTTGATACCAGACAGGTACGGCGTGTCTGTGTCTTCTTCAATATCCAGGTAAGCTTGCCCTCCCAAGGGATAGGCTTCTGACCGTGTAAGGTCCTTGTAGACGTGCGAGATCTGCTCCTGGATGTGTGAAAAGGCCTTGTTGAAGAGTTCGTACCGCTGGGCTTTGACATGGTTGAACGCATCGCGGGCTGCCTTAAGTGCCGCTCTGGAATCCTCAAACTCCTTTTCGGTATTCTTCAGTCTCGTCTCGACGCTCTCTAACCTCTCAATGGCTCTCATGTTGGGGTTGAGCTTCTCGAGCTCCGAAGTGATTGACGCAATCTTGTCTTGCAATCGCTCCTCGACGCTAGGATCATCCGACTAGAGAAATGTCAGCAAACACAGCTTTAATATGCAAATGGCAGGTTGCCCGTACATTCTTCAATTCTTCGTCCAGACTGTCATAGTCGACCTCGATGCCGTGATTCTCGAGGGCGGCGGTCATCATTTCCTCGTCATCCTCCTCGTCCACGTCCATAGCATCGGCGTCTTGCCGTAGCAGGTTATCTTCGTTTGGCAGATTGTCGAGCGAGCCCTCTTGTAAAGGAATCTGCATCTGCTCGAGCTTGCAACGCCTAAGCAACGCAAACTTGCCGGCACTGTTCTTCTGGACTACCGTTTCCAGAGCATTGATTTCCTTTTGTCTGGCGTCGATCTCCTTGCTTCGCTTCTGAACCTCGGCCTTGGCCTGTGAGACCTTCTGGCTCTTCACCTCTAGCGTAGCGCGCTTCTCCTCGAGGGTCTCCCGCAGCGCGTCGAGCTCATCAGATACCTCGTGGCTAGCATCCTCGATATCTGACTTTTCCTGCTGATAGGTCTGGAGGTCTCGTTCCGATGCCTTCAACCCCTCTTGCAGTTTCTTCAGCCTTGCGTCCAGGTTGTTATACATGTCGCGCGTCCAGCTGAGTTGACTCTGGTACTTGGACTTTTGTACTTCAAACTTGGTTCGTTCCTCATCAGCTTCTCGTTGCAGATCTCTGTGCTCCGATTCATAGGCTCGGATGTCGCCGAAGCCAAGTCTCTTGCAGAAACCAGAAAAGACTTCGTCTTCCACTTTGGCGATGGCGTCGGAGAATTCCTTGACAGTACGCTTGGTTGCCTCGAGCTCGGCTCTCTTCTCCTCGTATTTGGGTTCCAGCTCGTCAAGCTGTCTACTCTCGTGATCTACTTCTCTCTTCTTGCTGTTGTAGTTCTTCTCCAGGTGGGCAAGTTCGGCCTTGGCGGCCGCCAGGCGTGGCTCAAGGCCGTGAATTTCAATCTGAAGAGACTCCTCAGCAGGGCTACGTCGCCCAGACTTTGGGAGCTTTTCGATCTCTTCCTTGTACTTGGCCGCCATTTTCTTGAGGGGTTCAAGGTCAGTGCTTTCGAAGCGACACTTCCCGCCCTTTTGCTCCGGGCCACGACCACCAGTCATCATGCCCGTCTTGTGAATGACCAGGCCGTCCAGAGTGACGGTCTTGACGGGGATGCGCTTCTCATACGAAATGAGCTTGGCGATCTTTTCGCTGTCGCAAACCACAGAGCTGCCACATGCATAGGCCATGGCACGCTCATACGCAGGCTCAAAATCAATCGTGTCGATGGTTAGGCGCGCTCCGGATATGCCTTTGATGGCCGAATTGACCGCGTTGACCTTGATGTTGTCAAGAGGGATGAAAGTCATAGGCGGGAAGCGCTGGTCCTTGAGATACTGGACACAGTCGTGACCGGTCCTCTCTGTGTCCACGATGACCGATTCGTAGTCCCGACCAAGCGCGGTGCTAACAGCCTCGTCGTACTTCTTCTGTTTAGGCTTGCACAAGTCACCAACCCTGCCCTTAACACCGGGATACAGTCGCTTCAGGTTGTTGACCATTTCCCTCATCCTAGCTTCGCGGTCATTCTGTCGTCGGCCATCATCGGCCTCTCGAAGCTGCTTGGCGACTTGCTCAAGCTTCTCCTCCAGTTCGGTGCGTCTCTGACTCGTTCTTATACGTTCAGACTGCATCTGGTGATACTGCTTCTTCTTCGTGTCGATTTCTTGGGACAGGGCTTTGATGTTGGCCTCTGTTGCCGACTTGCGTTCGCCGATGGTCTCCAGCTCTCCTTCGTACTTTTCCAGAGCGGCAGAGATGGTGTCGACCTTGCCCTTAAGGGTGTTGACTGTGACCTCATCCGTTTTTTGTTGCCGAATCAGATTGTCGAGCTTCGCTTGGTTGGCAGCAGTTTTTGATATGACCTGAGTTCGCAGGTTGTTGTATTCTTTGCGGTCAGCATCGCTCAGCTCCTTGCCGGTCTTCTTCATGAGCTCCTTATGCTGCTTTTCGAAGTGCTGTTGGGCCTTTTCGAGCGTCTTGAGTCTGTTTTCATCTTCCTTGATGAGCCCAGCTTGCTTGTCGCGGTCCTTACGAACTGGTTCTATACGCGAGCGGGTCTGCTCGATGTTGCGGGTCCTCTCTTCGATCTTTGCATCAATGGGAATCAACTTGTGCTCCAACTCGTCAAACTCGCGCTTCTTCGCATTGATGGCCTTCTCCACACCCTGAGCTTCTTTGGACGCCGCGTGCTGCTCCTTCTGAGCGGCTTCGAGCTTTCGTCTGAATGACTCAACGTTACGCTGGAACTCTTGTAGGTTCTGCTGGTGCTCGTGAATCTTCTCGGAAGACTCATCCATGCCCCGCTGGAAGTGGTAGAGCTTCCACAAGGCGTGTTTCACGATGGCCTCGTCTCTCTCTTCAGTCTTCTTCTGAAAGTTGTCGGCCTCCTTCTTCTGCTCCTGATACTGTTTGATCTCGGAATTGATACCACGCCGTCTGTGGAGCTGGAAGCTCTGGTTTTCCGCGGCTTGCTCGGCTTCCGTCTGTAATCTTTCGTACTCGGCCTTGTACTCCAAGCTCCCAGAGATCTGCTCAATCATCCTTGTCAGGTCTTGAGGGGATTGAGCGGCGATGGCCTCCACGTCACCCTGGAAGACAAGGAAGTTTCTGGCTTTGATGAGAATGTTCTCAGTCTCGAGGGCCTCGTTATACTGCTGGGCGGTGACGACACGGTCGTTGATGCGGTACTCGCTGGAACCCTGGTTCGTGATGGAGCGCTTCCACTTTTGCTCGTCGCCGGCGTCATCCTCGTAGACGGCCATTACCCAGGCTGTCTTTGGGTCGGTTCGGGAGGCTTTGTGCGACACGTCGTCTTCGTCGCCGTTGGCGTAGCCATTCGTCTGCCCATTAGCCTCTGCGGAGCCGTCATCGTTGATTTTGGAAGTCTTGAGAACGCGGCCGCGGTAGACAAGGTCCTTTAGATGAGCCGATCGCAGGTGCGATGATTTAATACCCAAGACGAAGGAGATCGCGTCCATGCTGGCAGTGGCAACCCGTCAGTCGGTGAGTTTCTGGGAGCATGACGAGAAGCGAACTTACGAATTGGATTTTCCAGATCCATTGGGTCCGATGATGGATGTAAAGTAGGAGTCGCCGAAAAGCAGGACATGATGGCCCTTGTAGGATTTGAAGTCTGGCGACAAGTGTCAGCGCGCGCGCAGGAAGGGGGGAAATCAAGACCGTATTGAGCATACTGAAGAGCTCAAGACGAATGAGCTTTCCCATCTTGCCGAACGGTTGTCGCGACTATCACGACGGGCGGCGTTGAGTTTCCCGACGATGAGGCGAGTTGATGTCGAGGCTCGTCGCAAACGCGAATCGGCGCGCGGAAGGGTAAGAGCAAAGACAGCCGTGTGGTGTGGCTCGACTGTAGGTGGCAACAAGTGAAGCCGGGATTGAGTTGATCAAGTAACAGGGGCCTCTGGCTGCCCAGGCGCATTCGGGGAGGCACTCTAGCAGGCAAGCGTGTGTTGCGTCTGGCGATATTCGTCCAGATGGCCGACTGAGATTCCCCACGCGCGTCTGGTTATCTGGACGCGACGGGCTGCGGGATGCGGGCCATACTGAGGCTGCCAAATTGGGCGCGCAACAAGAGCTCGAGCCACTTTACGGGGCAGGCGCCAGAGGCTGGCACCACGTGACCTAGGACTCCTTGATTATGTCAGCATCGCCTTACTGCCGGCGTGCGGAAGTCACTTCAGGTCCACGAGCCCACTCTGCACCAAGTTCACACCCACATCTAGTCCCCTCAACAGGTGCTCAACGTGGTGAACCAACCAACCAACCACAGGCTTGGCCAACGACACCTGCACAGATTACGGGCTAGACGCAGCTGTCAACGCATCTCGGCCAAGTGGCGCACGAAGTAAGTACTAGGTATGGCGGGCAGGTCTATTCGTAGGGCAGAGTGCGTGGCCCAAGTATCCGGGGCAATGAGATACCTATCAAGCCATATGGAACGGGCCAGCAGCGAACTCTCTCCACAGAGCAGGTACCTGAAGCAAAGTAAAATGCGGTAGCAGCATCTACCGCCCTGCCATGTGACGTAGACATCTCAGAGTGAATCCCTGTCTCGACAACTCGTTCCAGCTTGCATGCATGGAAAGTACACACAAAACCCGTCTGTCCTGCCTTCGGAGCGGTCAGCCGTTGATACATGCTGCCTTACTCCTTGCCCCAACTCAACGGGTTCTAGATGTGTTTTCCCACCTTCACGCTGCCTGCATCACGAGCCCGCCTTGGTCTGTGTCGCTCGCATCCCCCGCCAATCCCTAGCACGGCCTAGGTCGTCACGCTGCCGCCCAAGCTACGAGGTCGGCCAGCTACCTACCTGGTATACCATCCAGACTGGCCCAACTCAGCGCCGCCTGAAGCTGTCCCTTACATTGACCCAACGTTACCTACCTCCCGAACAGTCTCGTTTCCAACCTGTCGATAAAACCTCCTTGTCTCCTTCGCACCGTAGATACTCGAACGGCCGTCCCAACACATCGCCTCAAGATGGCAGAGCCAAAACCGGTGGACATACGCACTGCAAAGGGCGAAGACATGCATACCGACAGCGACGCAGCATACACCCCTGATCACACCGAGGCGCACTCGTCGTCTTTCGCCTCTTCGCCGCCTGATCACGATGGCCTCCATACGCCCACCATGGCCCCTACCAACCCGGGAAGCCCCAGGCTCTCAAGGAATCCTTCCTTCTCGGGCAGCAGCTCTTACCACGAAGACTGGGACCCCTTCCCGCCCCTCGACCGCCTTACCATGCTCGACCTCCTCGATAACTTCGCGCTGCCGCAACAGCTCGAGAAACTTCAAAAAGGCATTTCCGCCCAGACACAGAAGGTTCGGAAGTCGAGAGATGCTTTCAGGAATAAGAGTCAGCACGCGCGAGAGCGCATGGTAGAGGAATGGAGGCGTCGCGTTCCCACCGCCGAAGAACAGTTGGAGAGATACAGGAAGCGCATGCGCGTCAGCGTCGATAAGCTCGGCAAGCAGTGGAACGACACCAGAGTGGTGACCATGCGAGAGAAGGTCTCTTTCATCTGCGGCGTCATGAACATCTTCGCCAGCGGACTACTCATGGGCGGCTACCCCGAATACTTCCATCTCTGGTATTCGGTCCAGGTTCTATACTTCATGCCCATCCGCTACTTCACTTATCATCGCCGAGGATACCACTACTTCCTGGCCGACCTCTGCTATTTTGTCAACTTCCTCCTGATGCTCAGCATTTGGGTCTTTCCTGGCTCGAAACGACTCTTCCTGTCCGTCTATTGTCTGGCCTTCGGCAACAATGCTGTCGCCATCATCATGTGGAGAAACTCGCTGGTTTTCCACAGTTTCGACAAGGTCACCTCTCTCTTCATCCACATTATGCCTTGCGCAACTCTCCATTGCATAGTTCACTTATGGCCTGAAGAGATGAAATCTGTCCGGTTCCCCGCGACATGGACCATCCAGCACTCTCCAGCCGGCTCACCAACTGCTTATGGAAACGTGGTGTCCATGTTAGCGTGGAGCTCCATCCCCTACGCTGTCTGGCAACTGTCATACTACTTCTTCATCACCGTCCGGCGGCGGGAGAAGATCGCGGCCGGCAGGCCTACTTCTTTTACATGGCTGCGAAAGTCGTACTCAAAAAGCTGGATAGGCAAGCTGGTGCTTTCGCTCCCGGACTCCCTGCAAGAAGCGGCATTCATGCTGATCCAGTACTCATATGCGGTCTTGACGATGCTCCCTTGTCCCATTTGGTTCGCGAGCAGATACGCGTCGGCCGGGTTTTTGATGATCGTCTTCACATGGAGTGTTTACAACGGAGCAACCTACTACATTGATGTGTTTGGAACACGCTTCCAGAAGGAGCTGGAGTCGCTCAGAGCTGAGGTCAAGCAGTGGCAGAATACACCGGAAATGGCCGGCCATTCCCCTCTCATCACACCGAACCCGGATGGGACCGCGCCCAGCGAGCTGCAACTATCCTCCGGCGTCGAAGATGACGGCAAGATTGATTCCGCCTTTCAACACGAAAATGAGGATAACCAGGAGAAAACGAATGCCGGCGCACGTGGGGTAGATGGGATCCCGCTGCTGAGCGAGGAGCTGCCTGCCCAGGCAGAAGCCTCCGGTGTCGATGGCGGGGCCAGAGACGTAGCTAGGGAGAGGAAGGCAATTCCTTTGGAATGATGGTTCTATACGAAGTTAATAGATGCAAATGATATGCTTGTATGAAAGCACTATACGGGGCACAACGACGGTGTGAACTGTTGGCTGTTCAGAATGATTACTTAGGTTCATCCTCCCACCCTTCTTCTGCATCAAAGTCACGTCGTATTTCACTTTCCGCCTCGCGGTACGTTGAGGAGTATTTGTTAATTCTGCGATGGAACTTGACACAAGCCATACCCTACCCCCTATTGAATGATATGGGAATAGATACTGCTGCGCTCGCGCGATTCGTGTCCGCTCCATTTTTCCCATCCGTTCCTCATAGGCCTTTGAGCAGCCATTCGTTTCCTCCCATGAAGCTAATGCCATGAAGCTCATGCACAATCCCAAAACAACAAGAGTCCCAGCCTTCCCGTCGTGACGCCGTTTCCATGCACATAACGCAGCCGGTAGCAGGGTATTTCGTGACCCCATAACCAGTTCCCCCACCGAGAAACCAAAAAAGAAAAAGAAATCAGAATTCGATTGCTCGCTCCATTCCGCCACGTCTTTCAACCGAGCCATATTAACCTCCTAAGCCACGCAAACGGATGTCATTAATGTAGTTCGCCAATGCGTATCCGCGACGGGGCAAAGCGGCAGCAGACGTCGATGCTTCTGGCTGTTACCGGATGATGCCCCAGTCAGCAAGCTTGCCCCCGTCGCTATCTTCTCGAGCTCCCGGTCGCCGGCCAAACACGTTCCAAAAACGCAGCGTTTCGTCACCGGCGCCCGTCACGACGACTCTGCCATCAGGGCTCATCGCAAGATATAGAACACGATACGTGTGACCGGTGAGACTGACCACCTGCGTCATTGACGGATACTTCCAGACAACGATCTGGTTTTGGCTGTACCCGTGAGTCGACACGATTTCGTTGGAGTTCTTGGACCACGCTATGTTGCAGACCTGGCTTCCCGTGTCCACCTCGTTGATCACAGTGCCACGGACGGTGTCGTGGAAAATGATTCTGCGATCAGCAGTTCCACCTCCAGATGCCAGAAGCCCTCTCTGGTGCGGTGACCATGCGATGGCTTTGACGGCAGCGGTATGGTCCGAGAATTTCCAGAGTGGCGTGTCCGAAAGCTTATCCCATACCATCAGTTTGTTATCGTTACCACCACTGGCCAGCTGCCCATCTTCGCAGTTCCATTTCAGGCCGCACACTTCCTGTTTGTGACCCACAAGTTTCCGCAACCACTGATCCGGAGCGCGAACGTCTCTGTGGTAGATGAGGCGGTCGCGAGAACCAGATGTCAAAATATGGGTGTTCCAGGCCAGCGAGCCTACCCTGGCGGTGTGACCCGTCATTGTTCTCAATCGCCTCGTCTTCTCTGCGTCCCAAATCTGAACCAATCCTTTCCCCGTCCCGATGGCGATGTGCGTTCCCTTCTGGATCCACGATACGCTGGTGACCGTGTCATCCTCGAGGGTGCACAGCTTATTGACTCTACTGGTCTGCGCGTTCCACATGTACACGCTGGACCCAAGACCGACTCCCAGCACGTTGGCGCTGCCCCAGTCGACCAGGTTCAGATAAAAGTCGTCCGCCAGGTCGGGGGCGTCCAATACTTTGTAAGGCACTTTGCTGACCGCGCGAGGTTGCCGACGTGGGCTGAGGAGCATCTGTTGGCTATTGAAACGAACTGGAGAGAGGCTGTAGATTTCAGAGCGGGTGTCTAGATTGGGGCCGTGCCGACTTTGTGGCGTTCTCGACGGCGTGAGGTGGCCTGCGTTGCTTAGTTGCCGGGGTGACATGTAGGAGAATAAATTCTTGTGAGGGGTTGAAGGGGTCAGAGTGGATGGTAGAGAAGCCGCAGAAGCATTGTTTGGCGGCGTGCGCGATCTCGTGGCATCATGAATGTTGGCCGAGTGAGATGCGGTGGACAACGAATGCTCCGGTGACAGTGTCGACGGTGTCGCTTGAGGTATTGAGCCCTCGAAGAGCTCAGCTCGGAGCAACGTCGAAAATGTGCGGTTTGCTTCCTCGGCTGAAGAGCGTTAGATGAAAGTGCCG